TGAGCAGGGGGTGGCGGTACAACTTCGATGTTGGTCTCCGAGCCACCGTCAGTAATCGCATTTGGAGGTGGAGGACTCGAATTGGCCGTGTTGGTAAAGGTGACGAGAACGAAGTCGAGAAGTGTGAGCAGTGTTTTGCGTGTCACAACAAGATTGATCGTGGAGATTGCAACATCCAAGTTCGTCTCGACGCCATCGTAAACAGGCATAAACTCGGGTGAATCCTTCCTGACTTTGACAAACTTGACACGGACCAAGTCCTGGACTTCTCCGCTTTCTTCGACATCGCCAGATGATACAATAGCCTTGAACTCAGCTGGCGGATTATCGACAAAGTCATCCACAGTGACCGACCCGAGCGAGACCTCAGCAGACATGTCAAAGGGGCGAATGTAGAACTGAAGATCGAAGCGCTGAGCAACCAAATCAACAAGTAACTGATCAGGAGCCTTTCCATCTGGGTCACTACGGTAGAGCGATCCTTTCAACTCATCCACTGCGAACTTGAATTCGAAATTGCGTTGCTGAAGCTTTAGCTGATCAGTTGCTGAACCGTCCTTGGCATCTTCGAAAGCGTCCTCATCCTCGTCGTGGTCGTCATCATCCAGAATAATAGCTTGCTGGTGACTGGTACTGAAGGGTAGCAGTTGGGCCGATGGCCTATGCTCCAACAGCCTGTGCGATGCCGTTGAGGCGTTGCTTGCCAAACGCGGACGCAAGCCAGGCTGGCCTGCTGGTTGCGAAGGGGTGTCAGCTCCACCGAGTTTCGGTATAGCAACATCAATGATACGCATCAGACTCTTGTACTTTGCATCAGACACGCTGGCATGCAACACGGGCAGGTGACCGGAAACTCTGAGCTTTGTCAGGTTCGGGGCCTTGGGGAGGATTGATGTCTCCACTACAAAATCGACGGTGATCTTGTCGACGATATGCAGCATCTTGTCATCCTTGTCGACCAATTGCTGCTTGGTTTCTTCAATGGACGGCCCGATCAGAACCTGTGTAGAGGAAAGTTTGACGAGGAAGCGGTCATACATGAGCGACTCCAATCTCTTCAAATCCTCATCGGTGAATGACTGCCTTTGCTTGGATTGCACCTCCTTCATGGTGTCCTTGTCCACCAATTCACTGTTGACGCTGATGTGACCGGCATCCAGGATGAGGCAGGTGGACTGCTTGCTGGTGATGCTTTCGGGGATGATGATGAGCGGAGCTTGAAGATCCAGCTTTGCGTTTAGCGTCTTGTGCTCCTCGAGAGCAAACTCGAGGCCGGCTCTCGTCTGCGCACGCAAACCCTCGACGGTGGCGCCGGCAGTCTCCATGAGCGCATTGATGGAATCCATGTGTCTCTCGGGGGGACGGAAAAAGTCAACGACTCCAACGACAACATTGGGGTTCCAGACAATCTCGAGCGGCTTTAGCTTGGCGGTAACTGCAATATCTCCCTGGCCATCCAAGGGATTCTGCTCAACCTGGAACTGGAAGAAAGCTTCATCGCTGCTTTGTTCAAGTTCAGCAATGGACAGGCGAGGCGCCAGATGGGTATCAGGAGCATCCTTGACACGGACAATTTCCTTGAACAGGCTGTTGGGTGTGGTGCCATCATTGACGCGCAGTCCACCCAGGCTAACGTCAGCAAGGAACGAGTCCGGGCGTTTGAGGCCTTTGGCCTTGAAGACATCGAAATGCAGACTGATGAGATCTCTAGAGTCGCCATGCGGGTTCTGCTTGAGAGTGAAACTACCAGTGCTGAGTGAAGCTTCGAGCTGCATCTCGACAGTGTCTCTTGGAACATCAACCTCAGCGGCAAGAGCGGTCTTTTCATCCCAGTCGATGACTTCGTACAGCTCCTTGCGCTGTTCTTCTGTGATTTGGGTATTCTCGTCCTCCAGTTGTTTTTCCTGCTGTTGCTGTTGACTAGGCTTGGAACCAAAGGCCCAAGCAAGCCAGCCCTGTTGCTGAGGTTGAGCCGAGGGAGGAGGACGGTTCCTGAGGGCTTCAGCATTTTCTCTCTTAAGCTGATTGCGCGCCAAGGACCTCCAGAATCGCAAGTCTTCGTAATCAAGCTTCCATTCGAGCTTGGTCAAATCATCGTTTTCCTCAGGTGAGAGCTGCTGATCTTGCTTGCGTTTTTTGAAGAGCTCAATGTATCGTTTGCGGTCGTCTCGTCGCTCGCGGAAAAAGTCCCATGACCACCTCCTGTTTCGCTCGTGAATCTTGCTCCGGACAGCATTGACGGCAAACTGGAGCCAAGCACGGGGATCTTCTTTGGGCCGAACTCCCTTGGGCTGATACTTTTTGTATTCCTGGTGTCGAATAAAATAGTGGAAGAGGTCAACCATCATAAGAGCATCTCGGTATTGATAATCGTCCAGCACGACACCGATTTCGTCAAAGAGGAGATTTGCTTTGAACTTGGGAACGGTGGCACTGCCCGATTTATCGAGCTCCAGTTTGGCTTGACCGGAGACGGGTTTGAGTATGAATTGATGGTTCTCGGGAAGGTCACCATTCGTCTTGGCAATCATTGATCCGAAAGCAGCGAGGATCACGTCGTGGGGCTTTGGCTCATGTCCCGGCGGAATGGCTTCGCGTCCTGGACCTAGAAGTATTGCATCGGTATCCCAGTAGACGGCCAAGGCATCCAAAGTAGCGAGCTTGTGGGTGGTTTTGGTGGAGTCATGGATAAATGTAGGATGCCACTCTCCGTCGGTGCTGACAGCGCTGAACTCCTCAAGAGTGAGACCGAGGGCGAAGGGGTGGCCCGGGGCCGAGATGGCATCCTCGTAGCGGACGTGAATGTTCTTGACGGTGACCTGTAGGTTGTCGACAATTTTGGTGACGAGGCTCTGGGCAAAGCTCTGGCTGCGCTTTTGTTCCTCGGGACTGAGGCCTTCCTGATTCCTCTCCTTGAGCAATTCGGCCGAGTCCAGCTTCTCCATCTTGATGCGTTGTTTTCGGCGTTCCTCTTCCTCTTCGTTGTACTCGGCCTCCTCCTTGGGTGATGCAAGCAGATAGACATCCTGGATGTAAACCTTGACGGGGGCGCCGCGCAGATTGGACCAGGGAATGGTCAGGGTGAGTTCGCCGAGATGGCCTTCGACAACGTTAATAGGCAGCTTGAGCTGATCGAGGGCTTCACGGCGCAGTTCGAGATTGCGCAGCTTGACGTCGCCGGACCAGATGCCAACCTTGAGCTGTGTAGGGTCAAAGTTCTTGACGTACATGCCCAGGAAGCGGTTAAGCAACCCGGCAACGAGACCTTCAAGCATGGTGCGTGTGGGGTGCCGTTACCCGGGCCGGGATATCGATCGAGAGTAGGATCGGGGCTATCTATCGAGGGCAAAGTCGAGGCGTCATCTGGAGCCGTCGGCCGTCTCTGTCGTCTTTGGCAACTCGAACGTTGTGTTTAATGTCGTCGGGAAGGGTTGGCGCAAATCATGCCGGCAGAGCAAATAGCACGGACGTCATGCAGCAGCAGGTTGTGATGCGTTGCCGTGTCGGTAGGTACTTGTGTGTGCGTGCGGGTGGAACTGATGTAGGTAGGTACCGATGGAGGTGTCTGTAGGTAAAGGTAGTGTAGTGACGGACTGTTGTCACTTGGTGTTTGTGTGTATCGAGTCGAGGAAGGGAAGCTGGCCGTGGAGGGAATCCACGTCTCGGGCTTTACAACTTCTCGGTCCCCTCAGCATGCAAAGCGGGGTTGGGTTTGGGTTTGGTCTGTTTGGTGGAGCAGCTTGGCTTGTCAGCTCTAGAACCTGTTTCTCGGCTGCCTCCAATGGAACTCGACACTGCCTAGCCGACAACATGGAGGATGGGTAGGTAATCTTGGGACCGACACTCACAAATGTCAACAATACAGTGAGTTGAATGGAATTGATGGACTTGGTTGATGTCGAGATAGAGAGGTCACGGTATGGTAGTAGGGACGTGATAATGGAGAAAGAATACCGAAAGAAAAAAACCACTGCTAGTGCTGATGACGATGCCTTGATCAGCCGGCTACCTACTACATAACAATAAAACCTGACGCCGGCGCCAACTTGGAAAAGCGAGAGCACTCAGCTCCAAGAGGTGAATTGCAACACGCGACGGGGAAGGCAACAAGCAACGAACGGAAAGTGTCCAGTTGTTCGCGGAAAGGAAAGAACGGGCCCGACCTGAACAAAGCACCTCAGCTCCCGCATCGTCCGTCGTTGGGCTTCAGCATCGCAGACGTGCTTTCCCTGGGCCTGGAAGCTGCGGAGACCTACCTTAACACTCGGTGCCTGCTGGTTCTTCACTCTGATTGGACATTTAACCATATAAGTGGGGTCCTTTCAGTGACGGTTTTGTGGCCAAAATGGAACGAGGTCACGTTTCTGTCAACAATACATGACTGCAGTCAAACTCTCCGTCATTTCCTTTCCCCTCTCATCGTCTCAAGCTCAGACATAACTTTGAAATGGGTAAAACAGCAATCTGTCGCGAATCGCTCGCGGCGACGGCTGGCTGGCTGCTTGGAGGAAACTGAACTGGAAGCCTCGGTGTTTGAATGACAAAACGCTCGCCAAGTGAGTGGTCCAAGCTCCCCCGGATGTTTTGGAAGCTTTATCTTGGGCAATGACGTCATTGTTCCTGTCTCCAAATGTCCAGATTGAGGTGAGCGACTGCACTTCCTGCCATCCTTTCTTGCCAACCCCATCATTGGCAACACAATGACCCTGTACACGGCATTCGGACTCAGCATGAAGGAGCGATTTCAGCCAAGTTCGGGCATTTCCCGGTGTTTGATGTCCACTGGCAGCCTCAGGAGGAGATCCAGTCTGACACAATAGACGGATGGACTGGATCATTGTAACCGGTTTGTTTCATTTTGGCTTTCGCTATCACCCCTCCACTCTTCAATCCCTTGCTTTTTTTCTTCTTTTTTTTGAAAGTACCTATATATCATCTCTTCCATCTCGTCTTTTTCGTCCAGTGTCTCTACAAGTTCTTTCGGCTCAGCTTCGGCGTCTACAACTATACAACCCAACTACCTATTTGATTTGGATAATACCAATTGGATCCTCCTCCTCTCCCATCACCTTTCCATCATCTTCAAGACTGTTATACCTCTCGACTCGGTTGTCTGAACTTTTTTTTCTTGAAAAACAACAAAACACCAAGCACACGAAACCATGATGCTCCGAACATCGCGACCTCTTATGGGCACTGCGCAAAGGCTGCCACTCCTGGTCCGCTCCACCCACACAAAGTCCTTCAACAGCCCTATTGCGCCACTTGTAGCCCGCAATGCGCAACTCCAAAAGTCTGCGGGCTCCCCGTTGGTGTTCCGGTCGACCTTCTCTTCCAAGCCTCCACTTCAGCCCAACCACATCGATACGCAGCACGAAAAGGAATTGGCCCAGCAAAAGCTCAAGGCAGACCCAGAGCACGTCTCCGCAGACTCCTCAGTCCGTCCTTTTGTTGAGCAGGACCAACCTACCGCAGCCAAGGCAAAGGATCCAACCGAAAGTCTAAAAGATGACTTGGTAAGTCTATCAAGCCACATATCTTCACAGCTCGACAGTGTCTGACTCCTTTTTTCCCTAGGGTCTTGTCAAGGACACATTGGCACTCAAGACCGTTCCTCGAGAGACCTACGCCCTCGGTTTTGCCGGCACTATCCCTTACCTAGCCACTTCTCTTTCGACCGTCTACCTCTCCTGGAACCTCCACCAGAGGTACCCTTCCGAATCCGACTTCCTCAACACCATCCTGTTCAGACATGAGACAGCCAAAGACCTGCTTGACATCATTGAACCCATCCAGGTGGGCTATGGTGCGGTGCTCATCTCTTTCCTCGGTGCCATTCACTGGGGTCTAGAGTATGCCGAGAAGACTCCTTCACTTGCTCGCACCCGCTTTCGGTACGGCATGGGCCTGTTGGCACCCATCATTGCTTGGCCCACCACGTTTATGCCGATCCAATGGGCCCTGACCACACAGTTCCTTGCCTTCACCGGGCTCTACTATGCCGATTCCCGCGCGACCGTCAAGGGATGGGCACCCTCGTGGTATGCCACCTACCGTTTTGTCCTGACGGGCATCGTCGGTGTCGCTCTCTTTATCAGCATCCTTGGTCGTATTAAGGTCGGCGAGACCCATGCTCGCCTTAGCACTGAAGAGCTGAAGGATCTTGTAAGCTACAAGCATGAATCCGACAAGCCTTACCACGACTGGGAAAAGGAGGAAGCCGAGGAGAGGAAGAGAATCAAGAAGGAGAAGCAGGAGGAAGAGAAGAGGAAGAAGGAAGAGGAGGCCAAGAAGAAGCAGGAGGAAAAGGTCGACAAGCAAAAGACCAAGGGCAGCTCCGACATGAAGGAGAAGTCGGAAAACAAGGGTGACGTGGACAGCAAGAAGGAAGGTGACAAGAACGTCAACCCCGACAGCAAGAAGTCACCTGCTGACAAGAGTGACAAGAGTGAGGATGACAAGAGCAAGGAGGAGTGAGGGGGCTGCAATTTCTCTTAAGGGGGCAAAAAGACCCATGCTACTTCAAAAGCATATCAAGTCGTGGCATGTTTTGGTGATCTTTTTCCGGTGTTATAGTTGGATCAAGCGAGGGAAGGAGTTGAGCAGCGACCAAGGTTCTCGGTCCTGATCTTTGATATTGGCGGCAATGTATGTATTTCCGCATGTTTGTGGTGTCTTTTGCTTATAGCATTGGCGTTTCTAGAGCGCCCCGAATTTTTCATGATTTTTAACCACGAGATTCCACACTGCGAGTTATCTGGTGTCCGACCCCCCAAGTAGGAATGGAAGCACGACGGGACTTTTGGAGGTCGACGAGAAGAATCGCCCCGGTCGGGCAAGAAATGGTATCCGTTCTTTCGGGGCTTCGCTCTAACGGAAGCTAGCATATTTGCACGCTAGGATGATGAGCGCGCGTTAGTGCATGTTTGTGCTGCCCTGTGCCTGAATAACTGGGTGATGGCACATTGGCGGCTTGGAGATGGTCTGTGCGCCAACATCCTGGCAGGACCTACAACCGTAACCTCCTTCCTTCTTTCTCATCTCGTCCGTTCTCGATGTCGCCATATCATCGGATGTTCCTTCTTCACCCCCCAGGGGTTCATGTTATCAGTCCTTCCTCATGGCTTCCCTATTCCAGTTGTAATAAAAAGGCTATAAACACCACCCAGACCATTGTGCAGTTACAAGTCACCATCGTGGTCACCAACGACCCGATTGAGGTATCCCGGGGGCACCCTCCTCTTGTCGTCACTCCCACATCCTTCCTCTCCTTACCGAGACTACAGCAGGAATAAGTCTTGTTTGGTGCCTCGGTGTTTTGGTCATGAACCTCATGAGCGATTTCTAAAATCAGCATATGTCCTCGTCAAACCAACCAGCCGTGATCTTATCACAAAGACACCGCACCTGAGTTATTCAGTACGAGCAGCTCATCCAGATCTGGACGCAAACATCAACCCATTTTTTCGTGTCAGTAATGGTGGTCTTTCTTCAGGCTCGGATCAGTCGCGGCAAGTGGCGTAACCCCGTGCGAAATAGCCGGTGCGGACCGTGACTGGATGCAAACATTCCTAGAGGTACCTCAGCCGGGACACTGTCGACGCCAGAAGTCTGGGGCAGTTCTGCGATAGCTTTTGTTTTCGGGGTTTACAGTCTAAATCAGCATATGGAAGCCGGAACCCCCTCAACATCTTTCAAAGCTGCTGAGGCTGAGGTATCTTTCGACAATAACTGGGTACCCTAGTCATGGTCAAAGGTGGCAGATGTCGGCAGGGAGGTCACTTCCCTCACATCCTACGACCGTACGTGTGATCTACACAGAGATCCAACAGGAACTTGGGGCGGGACAAAGAATGGTTGTCGATGTTGGCATGCTGAGGTGAAGAAAGATGTTGGTTCACAAGCTGTGTTTACAACGAAGTGGTCTGCTCAAGGTATGGTATCTTGGCTACATCCAATCTATGGCTTCAGCAACACGGCAAACACCCAATGTCTGAGGAAGATCCGACCAACAATCCAGATGGGCACTTGATACTAGTGATATGGATGCCAAGCAGGGTGGTTTATACTCGGCGCTTAGCATATGTTGAACAAGCGATGAAGGAAAGAGACACCATCTCGATATATTACCACATCAACGGTAAGAATCCTTGGAGCTGGTCAGACACTGTTGGTGTCTCTTCGCCAAACGGCCTCCAAGCCCTTGGTGAAGGTGATTCGGTATCACATGCCCTGTCTACCAACCGGTACTCCTCCCATCATTCACAGGGTTCATCACCAACGACCACATCTACGATAATCTGAGGAAAGGATCCCATTCCGTCGTCACCATGGTGTTGTCTCGCGCCTCTACCGACATTCTGTAAGTCGTTGATCCCCAACCATCCGTCCTTCTGTCTTCCTAAGACCATGGTCTTCATGCCAATCAACACGTTGGCCCATAACAGTTGCGAGAGAATGTATTCAGTCCGGGGTGCCATTTTGCTGGCTGCTGTTCATGTATAAAAGGGTGGCAGAACACCGTCGAGGGGATGTTTGACTCCAAAGTATCAGCAAAACACCACTTTCTACTTCATCGTTCACCACATCTTCAACGCTTAGAAGCAACAACACCTCGTGTCCAAACCAGAAACACTCAGAAACAATGGCTCGCGGAATAGACGACAAGTTCCAGCCAGTGGTAGGCGAGGGTAATGCACCCTGCAAAGTCTATTGGCTGGTTGGTCCTCCGTCCCAGGAGCGCGGCCACGTTGTGGGCACAAAGCAAAAGATCAAATACTTTGGCGTCATCGAAGTCCGACCGAAACCTGACCTCCCCGGATTCCAGAATGTTATTTGCGTGGCCAATATCTGGAAGCTTGGTCCTAATGGCGAGAGCGTGTTGCGAAACACTGAAGAGTTCTCATACGACAATTGGAATCCTGTGTTCAGCTTTAATGGCATTCCTGCCGACATCAACCCGCCTGACCAGAGCTTCTGTCGATACATTCTGCTCCGCCACATCCACTTCCCCGAAGCCGGCACCTACAGACTGGAAATGACCGTTAAAGCCTTTTGTGTTATTAATGAACCCGGACAGCCACCCCAAATCAACCATGTGAACATCGATGAGGTTACCAAGATTCATATCGAGGTGAAGGATGGGGTTACCTGGAACGAACAGCGAAGTAAGTCCCGATAGGCAGTCCCTATCCTTTTGCCTCTCCATCAAGGGAAAGTCCAGATTCCCTATATTCCCAACTCCGCGGCGAATATACTTAGGTACTTTTTGCCTTAGCTGAGTACCTAGTGGAGACTGTTCAAACTTAAACGACTATTCACTAACACCTGACTTAATTGCAAAGCCCATCCCGACCACGTCAAGATCTTGGCCCTCTTGGAATGGTATCCTGTTCTCGGCTGTGCCAGGTATATGGACAAGGAAACGGGTGAGATTAAAGATCTACAACCCATGTACTGCGGAAACCCACGTCAGACTGGTGATGCCCAATCAATCTACGCCAAGAGTGAGGCTGGTTCGAGTGAGGCTGGCTCGCTCGTCACTGTCATCCACAATAATGAAGGTCTAGAGGTAACTGGAGGTGGAAATGGGAACCAGGCGGAAGAGGACGTCGACTAGGTGGTCTAGGCGCTCCCTGCCCAAGGTACCTTGTACCTTGAATTCCCCTTTCCGAATGGCACGGTGTCTGGGCTGGCTGGCAGCACGGCACATAGATTCGGTCGACGGCTGGAAAGGAGAGGTGGGTGTTGATATACCAGACTGCGTGGACTGGTGTATCTATCCTACCGGTCGGTTGGAACAAGGATATCAACGGGATCTACACACCCCGACCTCATGTATGCCTGGCGACCTAGCCTGGTATTACTACTGAGTGATGAAGGGGGCATTTTCTTATAAGGCCGGACTGGAAGGGGAGGATTTATTTTTTGTTCACTCAGGTATGCGTTGTCACGGTTCGGATACCTAAGTATAGGTATCGGCCTCTGGTTCATGTTGGGTGAGGTGATTGAACAAACAGACGGGATGGCAACGACAGAGGACATTCCTTCATAAGACATTGGTACTATTAGCAAGTTGGATTTCTTTAGTTTCGAAAGAACGGGTCAAAGCTTTGGAAGAAACGTGCTGATTGTTCAAGATGAAGCCGCTGGTTCTCTGTTGTTTTTTTTCTTATCCGTTGTGTATTTGTTCGTTGACTTGGATGAGATAGTGCTTTATCTGAAGCGCAGCAGAATTTGCAAAGCTCGCGATAGTGTGGAAACGATGCCGCGCGTGCGGGAAGGAAGCGACGAGTGCTTCCTAGGTCATTGCTTCATTCGTCGCCTTGGCAGCGCTGTCTGTATTGAAGAATCACCTGCAGGTTGATAGTACCTAGGTACCTGTACACAGCCAGTAGCTACTTTATGTACCTTATCTCATGCATCTTCGATTCCTCCTGCCGTTATCAGAATTGTCAATGTCCATACAAGTACATTGTTGCAACTCCAGTCACGGCGTCGCATTGTGTTGCCAACGACGGCGGACCTACCTTAGGTAGTTGAGCAGACTCCCCCCTCCTCAGTCCTCCCGCGGTCACTCCCGCACCCTGCCCCTGTCAACGAGACTATTAGATCAGAAAAGAGCAAGTCCCCGTCTGTGGTCACCATGGTGTTGTACCGCGATCTACTCACATTCTGTCAGATGTTGAACTCCAACCATCACGAAGTGACTGTCCTGGTAGGGAAATGGGAAGCACGCACAAGCCTCGATTGGTGGGCCAATGAGATGATTACTTATCAGATACCATACAGAATTCAACCGGAGGTTGTTAGTGTGATAACATCGCGCGCCGCCATGAACGGAGACCAACAAGCATCATCACAATGCGACAAACACTACCTACCACAGGGACCAGGAGCACCCGGAATTTGCCTCTGTTCATCTAGAGAAGCCGCCACAAATTGCTAACCAAGTATAATGCTTTTTTTTGGGGGTTTCTTCATTCTAAAGTGACAGGACTAGACACTGAATCAAACCACCCAATCTGAACTAACAGGAAGGAGTTCTTATAACTCCAACCCCGACCGATTAACCCGATCCGATCCTCCGCAAGACCTCCGAAAACGCCGTTGTCGCTTTCCCGTGTCAAAACATAACTAAGCAGAAGGGAAACCTTCCTGCCTCCATCATCACTTCCCTCAAAACCTCAAACCATCCATTCCACTTCTCACTCACTACCTATCTCCCCACACCACCCGACTACTCAAAACCCATCAAACAACCACCCCAACACCCGTCCCGTCTTGCCTACCTCCTTCAGACTCCCATGTCCCCAACTCCCAAAAGGACAAACCACCAACTCACACCCCCCAATGAACTTGGCTGCCAGTTGTGACAGCCCCAAATCAACGTACATATCTTGCTTGTAAGCCACTGCTCTCACTTTCACTTTCGTCATCCCCTTCTCCTCTCCTTCCTCCTCCCTCGCAGGATTTTGGTTCTGCCGAAGGGAACAAAAGTCATACAAAGCCGGCCAGTCGGCCTTCCGCGCGAGAATGTCCGCGGCGCCCAGAAAGGGAGTTAGGGCAGGACCGCCGAGGGGCGAGAGGAGCGGGGCGGGGTGGAGGGTTTCGCCTGTGAAGTAGAACTTCTTTGATGGGATGGTGATGGTGGTGGTGGTGGACGGACGGGAAAGCCAGGAAAAGGCACCTGATGGATGGGACAAGGCGACGTCGATGGCGGCCCAGTCGGATGGTTGGCTGGTTTGGAGGCAGGTGGACGAGCAGTAGATGGCTTCGTGGAGGAGTGCGTAGAGTGGGCGGCGGTGCAGGGCGAAGGATTCGAGGTTTGTGTAGAGGGAGAGGGTTTCCTTCGAGATGGTGCTTTCGGCGTTGCTTTTGGAGGAGGACATGGAGTGATCACCAAGGTCGGAGACGAAGCTGGTTATGAGGCGGTGGAGTTTTTGGTAGGGAAGTGGGATTTTCTTGGGTCCGATGGAGCTGGTAAGTGATATCGGTTCCTCTTCTTCGTCTCCGTCTTCGTCACTGTCCCTGCGGATCACAGGCGCTGACCCGAACGTCCGTCCCAGCGTCATGAACGTCTGGTAAGTCAAGTAACACCCTTTTCTCTCTCCATTCTCGCCATAGAGTTCGTACCCTCTGAATGGCGCAGACTGTCCTTCAACCCCTCCTTGCAACGGTGCCTTATCTCGCAAGTACTCGATGATCGTCCTAACATGCTCTTGGTCTTCCGGGAAGTACTCGTTGAAGTAATCCTCGTTTCGCCTGACGATATGAACGTACGTCTTTTCGTACACCTCGCGTGGTGTCTTACCCAGCGGTGGCATCCCGGCACTGATGTACACTGCTTCTAGAGATCGAGGGAGAAAGGAGAGGTAAGTGGTGGCGACCCATCCGCCGAAGGACTGGCATATAAGTGTCCACTTGATGTTGGTAGCAAGTTCTTTCTCAAGACAAAGTCGGATTGCTTCGAGATCGCGAACAATGTTGTCTTGTCTGAACTTGGCGAGGTAGTTGGCTTTGTCATGGTCAGACATGTTCAGCACTTTGGCCTTGGCGGTTGAATCGAAGAATAAGGGGCTGAGACCCGTTCCTCGGTAGTGGACATAGAGGACTTGGTAGCCTCTGTTGATACAGAACTTGTTCAGCTCGGGAACCTTGCCGGAAGGGTTTCCGTCTCCGGGACCGCCGCAGAGGTAGAGGGTGAAGGGCTTTTGGGGGGATATGGGACTACTTGGGGCATCGGGGGTTGTTGGGTTGGGGTTGGGAAAGCTGTCTACAAGTTCTGCATGAAGGTTCAGAAGAGCATCTTTCTGCGAGGTGCTGTGATGATGATGATGGGATAATGGTACTTGAAACTCCAAAGTCCTGAAGGTATGGCCATCTTTGTTGGCTTGACGTGGTTTGATACCCAGGAGTACAGCAGGTTTGATCCCAGCCCATAAACCCTCGGTTGAAGTTTTCTGACGGCTACTCATACTGACCGAAAGCGGAAGTCTGTTGTCTTTGCGCCTCAGGGGTACAGCTGGTGTGTCGTATTCTCGGTAATCGGTGGTGTGGGTGGGACCCTGGTCCGATCGGTTTCCTTCCGAAAAGGGGTCCTTTGTCGACACTGCCACAGATCGGATCGGGACCACGGGGGTGGTAACGGTGACTGGAGTGTAGGGCTGAATGGCAGGGTAGAGCTTCGGTTTTGCGCACTGTGGGTATAATATGGCTGCTTCTTGAAGCAAAAGAGACAAGTTTTGATAGTCGATATCGAAAGTCGCGGGCAGGTCGTGATCTCCTGGCTCGTCGTATTGCTGAAGAGCCCACGGAGACATTGTGATATCGTGGGACTTATGTAGCCCTTCATCTTTCAGGCTCGCCATCGTGAAGTCGACAATTGCTGGGTGAACAGGTAGCGGGAAGTCAAGGTCGGTTCGTTGGAGATCCTAGGTCTGTCAGGCTGTTCACTCGATCCAACTGTGAACAATGACAGAGGTTTGAACCGGCAGGCTCAAACAAGCTGCCAACGATGGAGTGAACGAGCAAAACTTGGAGGACAACAATGGGACACAACGGCAACGGACTTCTTCCACACGGGAAGGAGACGAGGTTATCAAGTACTAAAAAGTGTTGATCACGCTAGTCGGAGTGTGCAAGTCCATCAGTATCATTGTCCTATGTCAAGCCACCAACAAGGACGGGAGGACGTGAAGATAAACAAAGCATCTCGAGCCGTGTTGCATTTATACCGTACAGTGCTAGTGTCTACTGCATAGGTAGTAGATATCAAGCCCCCATCGTCGGCTCTTTGACTACCAACCCAACCAAACCTGCGGTTGCTTCGGTTCCCAATGGCACAACCTGAACCATGACGAACAAGGGTTCCCCTTCTTAGATTCCCTCGGTCTACAAAAGAAGGTGACCGGGAACATGGAACACAGATAGATGGTGTTCCACCAACATGCACCACGTGGTTGGACCAAGGCAATAACATCGCAGTTGGCCCGACGCCAAAGCCCGTCCATTCACCCTTGTCAGTCCAAATTCTGTGCGACCCATCACTTTGGATCGCGTTGGATTTGGCTGCAACCCTGATGGGTACCACACCCGAGGATATGGATGGGGGGGACACTGGGAGATAATGCCCATGATACCACAGTAATTGGAGGCGAGTTGTTGTTGATCAACAAAAGATAAACAAGATGAAAAGCCTGTCACGAGCGTACGATACACTTTATTCACTTGTCCGGTTGGGCTGTTTAAAACAAAGGAGATCTTCAAGTTAGCCTTCGGAGAAAGTCCCAACTCCCCGATCTCACAGTTCACATCTCAAACCACTAGCCCACTGTGATGAGCTTAGATCTCCCACAGTACACAACCTGACTGGACGTCGTCATTTTGACTGACTGTCTTGAACTTTGGAATATTTTTCAAGCCAATAAACCACCCCGGAAACACCCTGAATTCGGCTCGCCCAGCCATTCACCAAACACTGCTCGCCCGCCACTTTCCTACCTCGACCTATCAAACCCCTATCCTCCCGTAGCATGTCGTGTAACAACGCCCGCCGTGCTTGTGCTTGGACGCCTCCCCCGAAATATCCGAGCACATGGCTTCCATCGCACATCGAAG